GTTAGATCTGCCTTTAGTTAGCATCCATTTTATTCCAGCTCCAAACTCGATGAGAGAGAAACTTTATGTTTTAGATTAATTCCACGGTCCGATCAGAGCGACGGGTGTCACTGGAGGAGGAAGTGGCGTCTGGTTCCTGTGGGACCGTGGAGGGACCGCCATCATTCGTCTGAAAGGGAAGAGAATGATTGGCTGGATGTAGATCTATAACAGCCTGATGAAGACGATGCTGAACGCTCATCCTACTCTTCCTCACTTTATCAATTAAAACGACTTTTCATCACCAGAAAAAAGGCAGAGATGCTCTTATTCTGAAGAATCAGTTTGTCCAGATTTTTAAAAGGAAAACTGTTAAAATTCTGAATATTTTTTTCTTTTTTTACCTGCTTCCATCCTGAATCTGCAGATTTAAAATTTTTCTACATTTTTTTCTTTCAGAGATGAAGAAAAGGGGAAGAAAATGTGGAGTAAATATTTGGAGCGAGAGGACAGTAAGATAGTCGGTGAGTTGAACCTTCCTCGGTTCTGTCCTGTCGGACCTTCTGGAGCTCCGAGCTTCTGGAGCGCCGAGCTTCCTCTCCGTCAGCTGTAATCTTTTCTCCTCTTCCAGATCTGTTTGTGGGGCAGCTGAAGAGCTCCCTGACCTGCAGCCACTGTGGTTTCTGCTCCACTGTGTTCGATCCCTTCTGGGATCTGTCTCTGCCTATTGCCAAGGTGAGTGAACGCCTGCAGAGACGTTGATGCCGTTTCCTCCATGCCGACCCGCTCTGATCTGTTCCTTTCTCTCTCTGTGTGCTTCGCTCTGTCGGCTTCGTTCTACGTTCGTTTTGCTTCTAAATGCAAATGCGTCTGTGCTTTTGCCCAGAAGGGCTACGGCGAGGTCAGTCTGATGGACTGCATGCGGCTCTTCACCAAAGAGGACGTCCTGGATGGAGATGAGAAGCCGGTAGGTTTCCCATCATTTTAAACAGAAATGAAAGCTGGAACCATCTGAGTATCTGCTGATTAAGAAAAAAAAAACAGAATTTCACTAAGTGGTTCGTTCACTTCCATCTGAAACGCATTTCTGCACATTAATTATGTTTTTGATAAAAATCCTTTGGCTAAAATCAGAACGCTGATAATATTAAGTGTATCTCAGCCCCTTATGCAGAAGCAAAATCTGAAGCATTAGAATCTGAGGTTTTTTTGTACACAGAATTTTAAACATAATTTTTTTACACATTCAGCTGCAAAAGCTTCGACCTTTTGGTGAACTCAGGCGAAAGCAATCTACACGCAAAGTCGAGCAGCTTCTAGCCAATGAAATTAGCTAATTTGGTCAGAGAGAGAAAAAAAAAAGTTGCTGCCAGCCGCTTCTTCTGGATCAAACCAAGAGGCTTTGCAGACGGGGGTGCAGCACCAGCTGTGATCGGTTATTTCCCCCAGTCCTATTAGATGGAAAACTCTAATGGCTGTCTGTTAGTAGCTACCTGACGTTTTGTAATCATCTCTATTTAAGAAGAAAAACTCCTCATTCAGCTTCATTCAGGAACAAAGCTACATCTGACTGATCTGACATGTGACCAAATGAGCTCATTTCATTGGCTACAATCTGCTAGATTGCTTTGCCTTGAGTTCACTTTGGAGACAACATCTAAAAGCAGCGAACTCTACTCTCCAGAGCGAGTAGATTGGTAACCCCGCCTCCTGCTCTCCTCTATCTTGTCTGCTGTCATGATTCATGCAGCTATTATTTCATCCAAATGAAAAATGGAGAACAGATAAGCTGCATCTTCTTGTAAACCACAT